CAGCACGGGGAGCATCTCTTCCTTTTCTAAAAGAGCGTGGATATCGTCTTTGCGTCGTTCTTCTCAGCCTCATCCAAGCCATTAGGACCTCAGCCAAGATCTGCTGACTTGGCACTGTCAAAATGATTTAGTAGTTGAGGGAGGGATCTGGCCATTAACAAAACAAATATCTGGTTCTGTTGGCTGAGAGCCACACCACTCGCTCACAATGGGGAGGTAGTTTGTCAGCTTCATGTTTTCATGGATGGTATAGGGTTTCCAGCTTGAGCAGAGGGTTGGACTAGGGGGTCCCTTCCGATTTTCCTTCCAAGGTCCCTGCCACAGAGAGGAGGAGGTCAATCTGTTTTCCAAAGCACCCGAAAGCCAGACAAGGAATAATGGATGTGTTCTGTCCCCGTACCCCACACGCACTCCCACAGACGGCCCGGAGTTAATAAGCCACACGACAAAACTCTTTGAAGATAAAGCTGGTAGCAACCCAGTGGCTAGCTGCCAATTCAGACTTTACTCACACAAAAGAAAGATTAGACTGCAAGCATTCCGATAAATCAGGCAGAGTTTTCAACAATACAAGGATTAATCCAAATGCAGTCCGATAAAGCAGGCAAAGTCCAGTAACGCAGAGATCATGGAGTATTTCCAGTTTTTGCTCATCACAAACTGAACCGGCCACCACATCCACATTTATTTATACCCTGTGGGGTGTGGTCCAGTGACTCAGCTGGCTCCGGGGTCATGTGACTGGTGAAAATAAGTGACGTCGAGTTGGCCATGCCCATCCAGGTTTTGTGACTCCCGGTGTTTTCTTTTCTGTGGGAAACGAGTCCAAATGACTCTTTGAGTGTTTAAGGTTGCAGACACCTGGACTACATGACCTCAAAGATCCCTTCCAACTCCGTTAATCTGTAACCTCTGTAACTCTGTTATTCTATTAAATAAATTGGGAAGGTCATCTACCAACAGTGAAGTATCTTCAGATGTAAGAAATGGGTAGAACTGTGCTATCTCATGTCACTGTGTAGGATCATGGCGGTATATCTACTGGAATAAATCCACGGTTTAAAGGGTATGGTGGTCTCAGAAAGCCCTTTTTCCTTGCAGGGGGTTAAACAAATTAATACAGTACTGAGCCTGCCAGTTTTCCAACAGGGAGGGGGGGCAAGCTATATTGCTAGAGAAAAACAAATATCTGCAAGAACAGGAAATGATGCACGCCTTCCGTGCATGCGCCTGGCCTCAAAAACATGTCTAAATAGCATGGCATAGAGGCAGGGCATGGGGGAGCGGGCCCACCCATGATTTCCGCTACCGGTTCGGGCGAATCGATCTGAACCGGCTGAATACCATGTCTGATATGGGAATGAAAACAGGTCTACTAAACTTGGATTTTTAAAGTTCTGGAATCAAACTTAAAAGAGGCAAAATTCTGCACCCACCAGCCGCTATTATGATTATTGTCCTTACAACATCGACAGCGTCCTTCAAATAAGAAAAGCTACCAAAAAATTTCCATTCTCTCCTTTGGGAATATGAAGGCTTCTGCCTTAAGGTACTCTTTCTTTCTTTCTTTCTTTCTTTTAACTTTGAGAAGAAAACAGGAAGTTCATCCAGCTAAGGATAATATCTAATAAACCTCACTATCCCCAAGGGAACACGGGCAGAGATGACACAACAATTATATCCCACTGCATTCAATATTCTCTTCTATCTCCAGATCGATAAAGGATCTCGCCGGAAGCCAATTCAGCAGAATTTATTGCAATCCTCCAAGAAATAGTCCAAATTTCAGTCATCTAAGTGACGGGCGATTCCTTCATCTACATAGCTGGGATTCAGTTTATATAAGTAAGTATTCATAGGAAGACATTTTGAAAAATGAAAAGCTTCCATTAATAGGTAAGGTCAGAACTACATTTGCAAAAAAGGAAACAGGTTAGGGCAGGGGTGTCAAATTCGCGGCCCGCAGGCCAGATGTGTCACATGCTGGCTCCACCCACGCCCACTTTAGCAAAGGGGGAAAAAGTCCCATCTTCAAAAAAAAAACAAAAACAAGAAAGTCCAATTGCCTCCTGGGAAAAAAGCACCGTTGGGATAACTATGACCTGGATGCTGTGGTAGGATTCAAGTAATTTAACAACCGGTTCTCTGCCCTAATGATTTCTTCCAACAACCAGTTTGCCAAACTGCTCAGAAAGTTAACAACCGGTTCTCCCGGAGTGGTGCGAACCGGCTGAATCCCACCACTGCCTGGATGACTGAGAATCTCTACAGAGAATCAGATCTTTCCCACACTTGGGATAGGAGCAACTCTGTCTTTAACAGGGATGGAGGGGACGTTGGAGGTCTTCTACTCGAAGCAGCAGACCCTACACCAGTGATGGCGAACCTTTTCAGCACTGAGTGCCCAAACCGGATCACACATGCATGTGTACGCGCCAGAGCGCCGGAAATCCGAAGACCAGCTGGCCGGCACATGCATGCCTGTTTTTCCGCCATTTTCCGCCATTTTTCAGGCCATTTTCAGGTCATTTTTTCAGGCCATTTTTACAGGCCGTTTTCAGGCCGTTTTTTCAGGCCATTTTCAGGCTGTTTTTCAGGCCTGAAAACATTTGGCCTGAAAAACAGCTGAAAAATGGCCTAAAAACAGCCTGAAAACGGCCTGCTTTTTAGTCATTTTTTCAAGCCATTTTCAGGCCGTTTTCTGATGCTCCGGCACCCGTGAAGACCAGCTTTGTGGCATGCATGTGTATGCTGGAAACCAGAAGAGCAGCTGGTGACAGCGTGTGTGCCCACAGAGAGGGCTCTGCCTGCCACCTCTGGCACTCGTGCCATAGGTTCGCCATCATGGCCCTATACCATTTCAGACAAACAGTTATCCAGTCTTTTCTTTAAAATTTCACAACTGATTAACTGTTCGAACTGTCGGAGAATTTCTCCTTAGTTCTAGGTTGCTTCTCTCCTTGGTTAGTTTCCATCCGTTGCTTCTTCTCCTGCCTTCAGGTGCTATGGAGAATAGCTTGACTCCCCCTTTTTTGTGGCAGCCCCTGAGATATTGGAAGACTGCTATCATGTCACCCCTAGTCTTCCTTTTCACTAGACTAGACATAATTTATGTCAGCTCTACTAAGTAAATTCAGTTAAGATCTACAAACAGTTACTGAGATAACTTGGGTGAGCTAAATATTGCAAATATTGTAAATAGGACCTAGTTATCTCCGAGACCGCCTTCTGCCACCGACGACCTCCCATCGTCCCATGCGCTCCCACAGAGAGGGCCTCCTCGGGGTGCCATCAGCCAAGCAATGCAGGCTGGTGACCCCCAGGGGGAGGGCCTTCTCTGTGGGGGCTCCCACCCTCTGGAATCAACTGCCCCCAGAGATAAGGAGAATCCAAGACCTCAGTGCCTTCCGCCGTTCCCTTAAAACTTTCCTTTTTCAACAAGCCGGGCTGACCTAACAAATCCTTTTAAATGATTTTAAATGATTTTAAATTCGTTTGTCTTTTTAAATTTTGGGCCAAATTGAGATATTTCCTTTTAATCTGTTCTTAATCTATGTATTATGTATTTATGTGTTTTTACTTGGCTGTACACCGCCCTGAGTCCCTAGGGAGAAGGGCGGTATATAAATCTGAAGTAAAATAAATAAATAAATAAATCTGATGTTGGCCTTCAAGGGTACAGCATGTTGCTTGGCTGTGTGGAGAAGAAAATGCAGATTTAAAAGACACAGCCCATTCTTTTGGAGCCAATAAAGACAATAAAGTGCATATTTGGAAGACAACAAAGTCCATATATTGACGACAGGAAGCAGCAGGTGAAGCTAGGAAAAAAATCACATCAGATACCTGTACAAATAGCACAGGGGCCACCCAGGGCTGTGTGCTCTCTCTACCTCTCTTCTCTCTATACACCAATGACTGCATCTCAAAAGATCCCTCTGTTAAAGTACTGAAGTTTGCAGATGATACAACATTGATTGGTCTCATTCGAGACAACAATGAGTCTGCATACAGATGGGAGGTTGAACAACTAGCCTTGTGGTGCAACTGGAACAATCTTGAACTAAACACACTAAAAAATGTAGAAATGGTGGTGGATTTTAGGAGAAACTCTCCCATACGTCCACCTCTTACAATACTAGACAACATAGTATCAACAGTAGAGGCCTTCACATTTCTAGGTTCTACCATATTGCGAGATCTAAAATGGACACCTAACATCAAAAACGTCATCAAAAAAGCACAACAAAGAATGTTCTTTCTGCGCCAACTCAGAAAGCTCAAACTGCCCAAGGAGCTGCTGATTCAGTTCTACAGAGGAACTATTGAGTCTGTCATCTGCACCTCTATAACTGTCTGCTTTGGTTCTGCGACTCAACAAGACAGACACAGACTTCAGAGGATCATTAGAACTGCAGAAAAAACAATGGCTACCAACCTGCCTTCCATTGAGGACCTGTATGCTGCACGAGTCAAAAAGAGGGCTGGGAAAATATCTACAGACCCCTCATATCCTGGACATAAACTGTTTCAACTCCTACCCTCAAAACGACACTATAGAAAATGACACTATAAAGCACTGCACACCAGAACAACTAGACACAAGAACAGTTTTTTCCCGAACACCATCACTCTGCTAAACAAATAATTCCCTCAACACTGTCAAACTATTCACTAAGTCTGCATTACTATTAATCTTCTCATCGTTCCCACCACCCATCTCCTCCCACTTATGACTGTATGAGTGTAATTTTGTTCCTTGTATCCTTACGATTTATATTGATATTGTTTCCTGATTGCTTATTTGTACCCTATGACTATCATTAAGTGTTGTGCCTTATGATTCTTGATGAATGTATCTTCTCTTTTTATGTACACTGAGAGCGTATGCACCAAAGACAAATTCCTTGTGTGTCCAATCACACTTGGCCAATAAAAAATTCTATTCTATTCTATTCTATTCTATTCTATTCTATTCTATTCTATTCTGTTCTGTTCTGTTCTGTTCTGTTCTGTTCTGTTCTGTTCTGTTCTGTTCTGTTCTGTTCTGTTCTATTCTATTCTATTCTATTCTATTCTATTCTATTCTATTCTACTCTACTCTACTCTACTCTACTCTACTCTACTCTACTCTACTCTATTCTATTCTAGATAAATTACCCACTCATCCCAACCTCCATAATTCCCTTTATTTCACTCCTCGCTTAATGACATGGTTTTTTCTTCTTCTTCTTCTAATCACTCAGGAAAGAAGCTTTGCATCGGGAGATACTACAAAATGGAGCCCTTGGACTTGTGATTCCTTTAAAAATAAAAAAAAATAACACAGTTCCAGAAGTCATATAGACTTTACTACAGCCGTCACTCCAGCAATCCCTGAAGAAAAAGCTGTTTGGTTCTATTTCCTCTAAACATTCCTCTGACTGGGGAAAAAAAATACTAATATCCTGAGCTATACAAACACTTCCCTGAACTTTTGGAAAGTTCTGATCCAGAAGAAACCTGCCGACTTTTCGCTTCTGTTTTCACATACCCGTAAAGTTAATTCTTTTTGGTTGTTTGCTTCTTCCTCCCACCCATCCATCTTCCTTGCCCTGAATGTCCCCCTCCAGGTGATTTTTTTTTGCCTGCCAAGAATTTCTCATTTGTTTTCAATAATATCTCCGCTTACATTCCCGTGCCTGCACACATCAGCAGGATAAACAAGGAAACTGTCACCACAGTTTTTGCTAAAGCCATTTCCAGAGGCTGGAAATAGAGACTTTTTTCTCCTCCTGCATCTCTCGGAAATAATCGGGTGGGGAAAAAACAAAGATGCTTAAAAATAATTAGCTGGAGTTCAGGAACGGATGTTGTAGGTTTCCACTCTCCTTGGCACCTGCCAAGAGAAATTGGTCGCTTGAATTTAATCCGATCATCCTTTTTGAAAGTCTCCCAGCCAGGAGAAAAACCGTAGTAAATTTTGGAAGAATCATTGCCAGAAAAAGCTTGATATAAGTTATTGAAGAAGTCCTTGCTCTCCGCCAGTCTGATGAAGTAGGTCAAGAGAAAAATCATCTGTATGCAAGAGATACCACAGGCTCACATCCTCAGCCGTAAAATTAATATCTGATAAACACCGAAGCTCAGCTGTCTCCTAAAACTGGGAGCCGTACTGTACACGAGATTTATTTCCTTCCTTCCTTCTTCCCTCTTGACAATTAGAAAGGGAGGGAGGGAGGCTAGGGATGAGCAGAAGAGACAAAAATTCATTTGAAGACTTTATTGGAAGAGAAAGAGGTAGAAGCCATGGGAGTGATTTATAGATGCAGGACAGATATTATATTTATTGTGCACCCTTTTCGATAAGGTAGGCAATTGATCACTGGGTAGGTTGGTATTTCATTCCAGAAACATCTCGTGCTTTCCCACTTTGCAGAATTCTGTTTCTGGAAGAAAAGAAAAAAAATGGATGCAAGGGTAGCTTTGATTTCAGAAGCAAATAAAAGCTGACATTATTCCATTTTAGTCTGGGGAGCGATGTCCAATCAGATAAAGGCCTTCTTGAAATTCAGCAGGTTCTGACAGGTTCTGGAGAACTGGTAGCGGAAATTTTGAGTAGTTTGGAGAACTGCCAAATACGACCCCTGGCTGGCCCCAGAGTGGGGTGGGAATGGAGATTTTGCAATATCATTCCCCCAGGAGTGGGGAGGGAATGGGGATTTTGCAGTATCCTTCCTCTGGAGTGGGGAGGGAATGGAGATTATGCAGTATCCTTCTCCTGCCACGCCCACCAAGCCACGCCCACAAAGCCACACCACGCCCACCAAGTCACGCCCACAGAACCGTTAGTAAAAAGATTTGAATTTCACCACTGGCCTACATCCACCCGTTAAATGATATTAAAGCCATGCAGGAAAGGCCTTAGGAATGTGGTTAATGCCGCTTTTTAAAAATTCTTTGTGTGCCTTACTCTGCAAATAGATGCAGATACAGAGTTGGAAGGGACTGTTGTGGTCCGCCGGCAGCCTGCAGAGCTGGCAGCGGAGTCAGACAGCGATGAGGCTGAGGAAGAACAGGGGCCAGTCCTGGAGGCTGGGGAGGGCCCAGATGAGGGCTCTGTGTCAGAGGCAGAGATGGCGCCAGGGCCATCAGGGAGTGATGTGCGGACTCCGGAGCCTCCAGAGGCTGACAGTATAGAGGCAGAGGAACAGGAGGAGCCTGTTCCTAGTGCACGTATGAGAAGAGCTGCCAGAAGGCAGGAGCAGCTAAAGCAGAGAGGATGACTCAGGAGTAAGGCCAGGAGATGATTGGCCCCTCCCATAAGGCTTAAAAGACCAGCAACGGCTCTTGGGCTCTTTGCCAGAAGACAACCATTGAGAGATTTGTTTCTTGTTTCACTGTATCCAGTTCTTGTCGGCGTCTTCTGTTTCTGAACTTTTGCCAAGAAAAGCCTTTGACAATTTGCTTAATTATCCCAAGGTCGGTGATAAAATGAATAATGGTGTTTTGAAAAAATGTGCCCCAGCCAGCTGGTCTTCAAGTTTCCAGGGCTCCGGCGTGCATGTGTGCGCCGAAAAGATTTGCCCTACACCATTTCTGACTGAGGGCAGTCCAGTCTTTCCTTAAAAGCTTCCAGTGACTAGATAGAAGACCGCCAAGGTCCCTTCCAACTCTGTTATTGCATTGTTCTGGGTCATGAAGGTACCGTATTTTTTGGTGTATAAGACACACTCCCCCCCCCCAAAAGAGAGTGAAAATTTGGGTGCAACTTATACACCAAATGTAGCCAAAAATGTGAGGCACAGAGGCAGCGATGGTTTGTGGTAATAATCCCTGCAGCCTGCAACAGCTGATTGGTGGTATTCCGGGAGGCCAATTCACCCGCCAATCCGCTGCTCGTGCTGAATCAGGCTGCAATAATGTGCTGAAGCTGACCTGGCTGTTTGCTATTTGCTGCAAGGACGTGTCAGAGTTTGCAACAGCAATCACATCCAGAAAGCACACACAAGTAACTGATTCAGCAGGATTCAATAACTTCTCTTTATATATAATATAACACATGAAGTACATATACAATACCCAAAGCAGGTTTTCCAACGTGGTAGTAAATACAAGCAAAACACAAGCAGAGGAGAGGAGTTTCAGTTTTGAGCAGCAGACTAGTTGGAGCTCAGCACAGACTCAGAGCTGCAGACCTAAGCCACGCCCAGACTCCTTGCTGTCTCCTTCCTTGTTGCTCACACAGCAAATACTGTTTCAGTTTCCAAGCAGCCCTCAACTCTCTCACACACTGACAGGAGCATCTTATACTCCGAAAAATATGGTACATCATGTTCTTCTAGCAACTGCCAGGCCTGCAAATTAGGTAGCCTAAAGCAGAAAATTAGGATGGTAGCCCTGGGGAAAGGAAGTCAATGGTGTCCAGGCATGGTAAGTCCATTTATAACAACAAAATTTACAACTCGATGAAACTGTAGCGCTAAAAATACATTTGATTTAGAACGACAAGGAGGGTAAGGCGTGGTAAGGTCCATCACCTTTGCTTTTCTGCTGGCAAATGTAGAAATATTAGAATAACAGATTCGGAAGGTACCTTGGAGGTTTTCTAGTCCAACCCCGTTAGGCAGGAAACCCTATGCCACTTCAGACAAATGGTTATCCAATCTCTTCTTAAATTATGTAATTATATAATTATGCAGAAATGAAGGGAAACTTAATCGTAGGTAGCAAAAACTGGAACAAGCTTGAATGCTGTAATTTGGTGTAAAATGAAGAATCGTGTGCCATGGAACTCAATATTAGTACTTCTCTCTCCTTGCACTAGACATCCATTATTTTACCAAAGGATTTCCATTGCCTCACTGCTTTTCATCAGGGTCATTAATATTTTTAAATGCTTTAAGTGACTCAGGCAGCCAATGATTGACAGGCGGTGGCCAAGGAAAACACTATTACAGTAATATGTCTTGGACAGAAATTTACCTTTCATTGATTAATAGACTTTTGAATGCTCTAAATGTATTACTAGCGACTGAGATACATACAGGATGAGTAGTTGTGATTAAAGAAACATACACTTCGCTTATGGAAAGATCCAGGGGTGAAATCCAGCAGGTTTTGATAGGTTCTAGAGAAGCGGTAGTGGAAAGATTGAGCAGTTCGGAGAAGCGGTAGTGGAAAGTTTGAGCAGTTCGGAGAACCAGTAGTGGACAGTTTGAGCAGTTCGGAGAACCGGTAGCGGACAGTTTGAGCAGTTCCGAGAACCGGTAGCGGAAAGCTTGAGCAGTTCGGAGAACCGGTAATGGAAAGTTTGAGCAGTTCAGAGAACCAGTAGCGGAAAGTTTGAGCAGTTCGGAGAACCGGTAGCGGAAAGTTTGAGCAATTCGTTTGAATTTGAGGCCTTGTTACACACATAACGTTTGGAAAGTTATTTCGTTTGCTTTTGAACATTAGCACTTAGTGAATTATGAAGTCTGCCATTCAATACTAGACTGGCGCAAATAAAGATGTCCTGATTAAATTTGTCTTGGTGCTACCTTCAGCGTTTTATAATTTACACAGAAAAGAATTGAGGAGGGGAGAAGGTGTAACTTTAAAGGATTCCTCAAAAGAATTGTGAGACTCCTTGGGCAATTGGAATTTTTCTCTCTCTCTCTCCCTCTTTTTCTCTTTCTTTCTCTGTCTCTCTTTCTGTGTGTGTCTCTGTCTGTTTTCCTCTCTCTCTCTCTCTCTCTCTCTCTCTCTCTCGCTGTCTCTGTCTGTCTTCCTCCCACTCTCTCTCTTTCTGTCTCTGTTGCTCTCTGCCTTCCTCTCTTTTTGTCTCTTTTTTTCTCTCTTTCTCTTTCTCTCTATCTCTCATTGTCTCTGTCACTCTGCCTTCCTCTCTGTCTCTTTTTCCCTCTCTCTCTCTCTTTCTCTCTCTCTTTCTGTCTTCCTCTCTCTTTCTCTTTCTGTCTCTGTCGCTCTGCCTTCCTCTGTCTCTTTTTCTCTTTCTCTCTCTCTTTCTCTCTCTCTGTCTCTGTCTTCCTCTCTCTCTCTCTCTTTCTCTCTCTCTGCCTTCCTCTCTTTCTCTCTCTCTCTTTCTCTCTCTCTCTCCCATGTGCGTGTGCCTTTGAGTCATTGTTGCCTCCTATCAATGCCTAGATTAATCCCTGCAGCTTTCTTGTCAAGAGTTTGGAAGAGGTTTGCCATTGCCTTCTTCCTAGGGCTGAAAGAGACTGACTGGCTCAAGATCCCCTAGCTGGCTTTATGCTTAATGTGAGAATCGTACTCACAGTCTCCCGCTTCTAATCTTAATCGCTACACCGGGTTGGCCAATTCTACAGAATTCAACAAGGTTTTTGGACTTACACTGCTCCAACACCAAATTCGTCCCACGCCAAATTAACAGACTTCTGGAAACCAAGAAAGAATTTCAAACTTGCAAGGAGGCAGGAAAAACATAGGCTTCCTTGAACAAGCTATTATTGGATACCTTACCCTCAGGAAACCTAAAATAAAATGAAAGTAAAACATGTGTAAGACCCAGATAATTTTAAAGGTCAAATGAACGATTGATTCTAGAGACTCATGAAAAGAACCGAAGAACTGAAGATAACTCTGGAGGAGAGGGGTGGGGTTTTTTTTAAAAAAATATTTTATTAATTTACATGATTACCAGCAAAGTGTACCAGATCTTTAGAATATCATGCCTCATGTTTATAATTCATTGATAGGTCTTCTGTCTTTTTGCAGTCGCTCACGGCTGAAATAATCCCCAGTGCCGCCTCTTCGGATGTTAAAAAAAATCCACAGAAAAGATGAAAAATTGTTAGGAAAGCAGGATTCTTCGAAGGAACATCAGTAAAAATATTCTTTTCATAAAGGTGCTTTTTCAGGAGGCAACTGGATGGTCTTGCTTTTTTTCTTTTTTTTCTTTTGAAGGCATTTAGCTTCTTATCCAAGAAGCTTATTCAGCTTTGACTGGATGGGACAAGAACAAAATAAATAGTATAAAGGGAATCGGGGGAAAATGTAAATATTAGAAGATGACCACTACGAAATAGCTGTAAAAAGAGAGTATATATATATATGTTTGTTTTCTGAAGTTTTCACGGGTGTTTGTATGTAGGTCTTTGGTTATTCGGGTTTTCTCCCGCGTAAAATTGGAGGTGCCTTGGCAACATTTTGATGAAGTCTCATTCGTCATCTTCAGGCTGGTGTTTTTGGCTTCGTGCTTCTAGGGGCAATGTGTGTGATCGCAGCTGTTTCTTCCTGTTAAATAAAATAAAATAAATCAAAATAAAAAAATAAAATAAAATATTTTTTTAAAAAAATAAAATAAATCAAAACATGGGAAAAGTCCCATAGCTTGGAGAGACCAATCAGTTATTTTGGTCAAGGTTTATCTCTTCCTGAGAGAAGTCCTTATCTGTTTAGATGGATCCCATCCTAACATGAGTTCAACGAATTTCCTGGATCATCTCCAAAGATTCTCTTTCTATTGGGCAGGAGACTAAATGTGTTTGATGCCGAGGAAACAAGATTCAAGCTTTCATTATTATGTGGAATAATGTCACTCCATCTTCTATAGCGTCATAGGGCTGGAAGGGACCCTGGAGATCTTCTAGTCCAACCCCTTGCCCAAAGCTGGAGAGCTTATTGCACGTCTTGTGCAGGAGTGGGCTTCAAAAATTTTAGCAAGGGGTTCTCTGTTCGGTTGTTGGGTAAGCGTGGCCATGGTGGGCATGGCATTTTTGCCCTCCCCGGGCTCTGGAGTCTTTCCTTGAGCATCTGGGAAGGTGAAAATGGTCTCCCCAGACTCCGGAGGCCATCTGGAGACCTGGAAACGGGCCCATTTCTGGCCTTCCCAAACCTCTTGTAAGGCCCGTTTTTCACCCTCCGCGAGCCTCCGCGCGTGCCCTGCACTTACCTGCAGCCAAAACGGGCTGCATGGAGACTCCTGGGAGGGGCAGGGTGGGCAGGGCCAGCCAGGAGTGGGATTTGGGGGGGTTCGCCAAACTGCCCAGAATCTTAGCTAGAGGTTCTCTCGAACCCCTGCAAACCCCCAGAAGCCCCACCCCTGGTCTTACAATGTCTTCTGAACAATCGCTGAACCTCACTAATCAAAAAGTCAGAAGCTTCCTTCTAGTTTTATCTAGGTTGTCAAATATGCTTGTAGGTATCATTTTCTGGAGTTGAGAACTTCGACATAATTGGCAAGCGTCCGTAAGTAGCTCAGGAAGCATTGAAGCTCATTGATCTGCAAGACGTGCTGTTGCCAAGCTTCCTAAATGTCTCGGATGTGTGCTGGATATGACTCTTAACTTCTCGGAAGGTTGGCATCACTGCCATCTGCAATTGTAGAATTGTGTGTAATGAAGCATATTGTGCCACAATAGCAATAGCATTTAGGCTTATATAGCACCCCATAGTGCTTTACAGCTCTTTCTAAGTAATTGTCAATCCCAGTCTATTGCCCCCAACAAATTGGGTCCTCATTTTACCCAGCTTGGAAGGATGGAAGACTTGAGTCAACCTTCAGCCCATCAGGATCGAACTCCAGGCTCTGGGCAGAGTTAGCCTGCAATACTGCATTCTAACCACTGTGCCACCAGGAAGAAGAATGAGAAAAGGAATAAGGGAGAGAGGGAGGGAGGGAGGGAGGGAGGGAGGGAGGGAGGAAGGAAGGAAGGAAGGAAGGAAGGAAGGAAGGAATAGCACTTATACACCGCTTCATAGTGCTTCACAGCCCTCTCTAAGCAGTTTACAGACTCAGATATCTGGGTCCTCATCTTACCAACCTCGGAAGGATGGAAAACTGAGTCAACCTTGAGCCCATCAGGATCGAACTCCAGGCTCTGGGCAGAGTTAGCCTGCAATACTGCGCTTTGACCTCTAAGCCACCAGAATTAAAATCATCACCTGTCCTGATCTTAAGGTGCTTGCAAGGCTTTTTCTGTGGCTTGAGAATCCCCATTTCTCTCATTTCAACTCAAGGCTTCCTCTCAATTGCTTTTGATTTTAGGTGCTCCTCCATCTCAACCATTTCTGAGTATCGATATACTGCTGCTGATCATAGGTGCGCTCTTCTCTCGGCTGCTTCTAGTGTCCTTGGGATGCTGTTCAACAACAATTGTTGCGTCTGCTCTTCCTTTTCCAGTTGTCAAGTGACAAGGGTGTGGACACTCAACATGTGCGCTTTCCAGAAAGTTGAATATGTTTAGAGGATGCTTCAGAAGTTAAAAGCGTTCAAACACAAGAGGAGAGAGAGAGAGAGAGAGAGAGATGACCTGTATTAGTCTTGCTTCTTTGGACAAGTAAGACAGTAGTACGATTCAAATAATTTAACAACCGGTTCTCTGCCCTAATGACCGGCTGGGTGGGCATGGGCATGGTGGGCATGGACAGGGGGTGTGACAGGCAGCACTCGGCCTCCTGCATCCCCTGGGAGCAAAAATGGGGGCCATGGGGGGGTGGCACCACACCCCACCCCACCCCCGTGCCCTGTTTTGGGCCTAGTAGGCCTTCCTGCAGCCTCCTGGGAGCAAAAACAGGCCGCCAGGGGCGGAGCTGCACCCACCACCTGTACCCCATTTTGGGCCTAGTACAGTGGTGGGTTGCCCCCGGTTCAGACCGGTTCATAAGAACCGGTAGTAAAACCGGCAGGAGGCTCTGCCCACCGCACCGGATGTCATCATAGGCAATCTGTGCATGTGAACCGGTAGTAAAGCTAAGTAGAACACACCCCTGGCCTAGTAGGCCTCCCTGTACTTACCTGGGAGCCAAAACGACGCACGTGGGGACTCCTGGAAGGGGCAGGGAGGGGAGGGCAAAGCCAGCCAGCAATTTAACAACCGGTTTGCCCGAACTGGCTGAATTCCACCACTGAAGTAAGATGATACTAAGAATTGGTAGATCAGTGTAGAATGCCACCTCAACATGTCTTCCCTCATTGTAGACTTTTGACACATTGCTTTTCCTTTTGCCTTTCATATTGTTCACGACTCCTTACTTGCTCAATTCCGGGTCACTCTTCTCTGACATAATTTTTGCACGGCCATCTTTGACTATTTCCAGTAGTGCTCAAATGTGGGTTATGTTTCTCAGCTGTTCAGCATATGTAGCACGCTCATCTTTCACTAGATATCTCTTCCCTTTTTTCACAGCTCCCATATTTGCTCGAGTCGATGGCTTCTCTCATTGTAGCGGCCTTGGGACCCATGTTGTATTGTGGTGGTGGTGCAGGGGTGAAATCCAGCAGGTTTTGATAGGTTCTGGAGAACCGGTAGCAGAAAATTTGAATAGTTTGGAGAACCGGAAAATACCACCTCTGGCTGGCCCCAGGAGTGGGGAGGGAATGGAGATTTTGCAATATCCTTCATCTGTCTGTCTGCCTGCCTGCCTGCCTATCCGTCCGTCAGTCCATCCTCCATCCATCCATCCATCCATCCATCCATCCTTCCATCCAAATGAAAAATTCTAATCATGGTATCAGTATAAAGTAGATACTGATTACATAACAAAACCTCATCACTGTCTAAATTTTAGCACATGGCTATTGGACCCTTTCTTTTAAATCTTCATAACATGGACATATGTTTACACCAGGGGTGAAATCCAGCAGGTTCTGACAGGTTCTGGAGAACTGGTAGCAGAAATTTTGAGTAGTTTGGAGAACCGGCAAATGCCACCTCTGGCTGGCCCCAGAGTAGGGTGGTAATGGAGATTTTGCAATATACTTCCCGTGGAGTGGGGAAGAAATGGGGATTTTGCAGTATCCTTCCCCTGCCACGCCCACCAAGCCACACCATGCCCATCAAGCCACGCCCACAGAACCGGTAGTAAAAAAATTTGAATTTCACCACTCTGGTGGCGTCTCGCAGGGATGGGGTGTCCACCATCACCTTCTCCTGGAAAAAAAAAAGGGGGGACCTTGTTCTGATTGGATTTTGGGCTGCAATTTTCAAGTTAGTAAGCTGGAGATTCCATCCAACCTACCCCTCCCCTTATCTAAGGTTGTTATCCAGCTGTGACGGATTGCCATGTAGTACCAAGAAAAGCTTTGAAAAAGCAATTATGGTTTGGGAGTATTAGCTGAATATGATTCCAGCTAGCATTCTTGAGATTCTTATCTAAAGACTTGACTGCTTGCTTGCACATCAGGGACAGCGGCTAATGCTAGCAAGACAACTATTTTTCTCTACATTCCCACATGTTCAACCCCTCTTGAATTCTGCTAACTCCCATTAGTTCAGTAGATATATTATTATCATTATTATTATTTATTCATTAAATTCAGTCAACTGAACATTCAAACATGCATCACAAATACCATCGACTGGTGCTAATGGTTGATACAGGTTGCTGCCAGCATCCTAGATATCAACCAAGTACCTTCTTAAGATGTACAATGTTCCAAGAAGCACAGTTTTTTGCAGTTCCGCTGGTGTTATTGCAGGAAGCTGCAATTTGCTGATGTATCTTATAAAATTCTTGGACATGGTACCAA